GAAAATGAGCATAATCTTTCAGGGGAGGAGATGGGTATTCTATGAAATAGGGAACTTCCAAACCTTCCTGGTGAAAAGACGAGAGCTCAACAAAAAATTTGACCTTCAAATACAAGATAGGAAAGAAAAAAACAGCATGTTATTAATAAGGGCAAACTGTTTGCATCCCTATAAGGGAAGATGACACTTGTAACTCTTGAGGACATATTGTTATTAGGACATTAAAAAGGAATATACATAGACAGAGATGGGGGTATAAGTTGACTTTGATGTGATGATAAAAAATCTAATTAAGTGGTAAAAAAGGATTGTACTGGGAAAAGAGGAAAGGAGGAGGCAGACAAAGGTAAATTACATCACATGAAAAGGCACAAAAACCTATTATAGTATAGGGAAAGAAGAGAGGGAGGTGAGCATTGTTTGAACCTTGCACTCATCAGATTTGGTTCAAAGAGGGAATAACATAATCAGTTAGGTACCGAAATCTAACTTACCCTATAGGAAGTAGGAGGTGAAAAGGAAAAGAAAAGGGGGGTGGTGAATAGAAAGGAGAGAAGAAGAAGTAAGGGTAAAGGGGAAAAAAGGGAGGGGTGAGTAGAAGGGAAGGCAGACTGAGGGAGGCAGTGGTTGAAAGCAAAACTCTACTGAATAAGGAAAAAAGAGGGAAAAAAGAGAGGAAAAAGGAAAAAGGGAAAAAAGAGAGAGATAAACATGATCGGGGGGATAGGATGGAGAGAAAGATACAGACAATAATCATTGCCGTGAATGTGAATGGGATGAACTCTCCCATAAAATGGAAGCAGATAGCAGAATGGATTAAGAATCATAATCTTACAATATATTGTTTACAAGAAACATACTTAAAGCAGAGAAGCACACACAAAATAAAGGTAATGAGCTGGAGCAGAATATATTATGTTTCAGCTGAAGTAAGAATAGCAGGGGTAGCAATCTTGATGTCAGACAAAGCAAAAGCAAAAATAGATGTAATTAAAAGAGATGAGAAAGGAAAATACATCTTGCTAAAAGGCACCATAGACAATGAAGTAATATCATTACTAAACAAATATGCACCAAGTGATGTGGCATCCAAATTCTTAGAGGAGAAGTTAAGGAAGTTACAGGAAGAAACAGTGAATGAAACTATACTAGTGGGGGACCTCAACTTTCCCCTGTGAGAACTAGATAAATCTAACCACAAAATAAACAAGAGAGAAGTTAAGGAGATGAATAGAATTTTAAAAAGTTAGATATGATTTACCTCTGGAGAAAATTGAATGAGGGTAGAAAGGAATATACCTTTTTCTCAGTGCTACATGGCACTAACAAAATTAACCACATACTGGGGCACAAAAACCTCACAATCCAATGCAGAAAGGCAGAAATATTAAATGCATCCTATTCATATCATGATGCAATAAAAATTACATGTAATAAGAAGGGCCATGGAAATACAGACTAAAATTAATTGGAAACTAAATAATGTAATACTAAAGAATGAGTGGGTCAAACGACAAATCATAGAAACAACCTATAACTTCATTCAAGAGAGAATGACAATAATTAGACAACATACCAAAACTTATGGGATGCAGCAAAAGCAGTTCTTAGGGGAAGTTTTATATCTCCAAATGCTTACATGAATAAAATAGAGAAAGAAGAGATAAATGAATTGGGCATGCAACTAAAAAAGCTGGAAAAAGAATAAATTGAAAATCCCCAATTAAATACCAAATTAAAAATTCTGAAAACCAAAGAAGAGATTAATAAAATTGAAATTAAGAAAATTATTGAACTGATAAATAAAACTAAGAACTGGTTTTAAGAAAAAAAACAATAAAATAAACTTTTGGTAAATTTAATTAAAAAAAGAAAGAAGAAAACCAAATTAACAGCATCAAAAATGAAAAGTGTAAATTCACCACCAATGAAGAGGAAATCAAAACAATAATGAGGAGCTATTTTGCCCAATTGTATGCAAATAAATGTAACAATCTTAGTGAAATGGATGAATATTTACAAAAATATAAATTGCTCTGATTAATGGAAGAGGAAGTAAAGTACTGAAATAACCCCATTTCAGAAAAAGAAATTGAACAAGTCATCAATTAATTCCCTAAGAAAAAATCTCCAGGGTCAGATGGATTTATAAATGAATTCTATCAAACATTTAAAGAACAATTAATTCCAATACTACATTATTTGGGAAAATAGGTGAAGGAGTCCTACCAAATTCTTTCTGTGATACAAATATGTTGCTGATACCTACCTAAATCAGAAAGAGTCAAAACAGAGAAAGAAAATTGTAAACCAATTTCCCTAATGAATGCAAAAATTTTAAATAAAATATTAGTAATGAGATTATAGCAACTAATATCAAAGATAACACATTATGACCAGGTAGGATTTATACCAGGAATGCAGGGCTGGTGCAGTATTAGGAAAATTATCAGTATAATTGACCATATCAACAACAAAACTAACAGAAATTATGTGATTATCTGAATAGATGCAGAAAAAGCATTTGACAAAATACAACACCTGTTCTTATTAAAAACACTGGAGAGCATAAGAATAAATGGAGTCTTCCTCTACCTCTTATTCCATGGTCATTCCTACCCCAATCAGTACTGGTTGCTCTTGAGTATCCTTATAGCCCCTCTCCTCAGGTAAGTTGTGGTCCTCAGAAAATACAACATTTTCTATGAGAAGGCAATTTCCCAAATGCAGATGTATCATAAATGAAACTTACCAAGCATCTTCTATTTCTTACGATCATCCACTGACTCCCAGGCCATCACCAATTGTTTTGACATTTGTCTTGCCATTGGACTTTCATGACTCTGGAGATGAAAGTCAAGCTGATGATTTTGTACAGCTCTGCCTTACTTAAATCCAATTCATGTGCAAGTCGAGACATCAACCTCATGATGTCATTGGTTCCCTTTGAAAACAAAGGATGAATAACTACTACCACCACCACCACTGCCATCAAATACATATTCACCTATCCCTTCTTCCTCTCATTGGGAATATTCTTTTTGTGCTGCTTTTCCCTTTCTAATTCTGTGTTGAGACCTACTTTCCCTTCCCTTTATTCCAACTTCCATTGCTTTTATCCTATTCTCTCACAGGGTCCACTTTTGTTGTGAATTAAATGTGCTTGGGGGAGGGGGAAAGTGCATCTCTCTAGTTCCCTTCTGTCAGTTACCTCTCTTTCATCCATAATTGCAACTTTATGCTCTGTTATTCTACCTACAAAAGATACTGATTCAGTTATAAAGAATCTCCATAAAGTATTACTGCAGTTCTTCCTCCTTCCCTTCTCCTTATTCTTGATGTTCCTCTTAAACCTTTAGCCCTTTAGATCCTTCTTATTCCTTAATGATTCCTCTTTGATCCATTTTTTGCCTCATAGACTGTCAACATATGTTTATATGTCTCTGTGTTCATGTGTCTGTCTCTGTGTTTCCTTATGCTAAATTGAGTGAAATGAATTTAAAAAAAACATTCCTTATGTTTTTGTACATACATTTGTATAGTTTATAAAATATCTCAATATAGTTTTTCATATCAGATGATCAATAAGCTGTGAGGTAGAAAGGATAAATATTATTATCTCCATGTTGTTGTTGTTGTTCAGTCATTTTTCAGTTGTGTCTGACACTTCAAAACTCCATTTGGGATTTTCTTGGCACAGATACTGTAGTGGTTTGCTCTTTCCTTTTCCAGTTCCTTTTGCAGATAAGAAAATGGAGACAACCAGGGTTAATTGATTCCCTCTACAATAATAATTGCTAACATTTACATTGTGCTTCAGAGTTTGCATATCACTTGACATGTTATCTCATTTGACCCTCAAAATAACTCTATAAGGTAGATGCTATTATTACCCCCATTTTATAAATGAGGAAACTAATTGGCAAGTTAAGTGATATGCAGATGAAAGGGTCGTACAGATTGTTAAGTGTTTGAGGCAGGATTTGAACTTCTGAATCAAAGTCCAGCACTTATACCGGCTGCTTCTCTTTTTTTGGTGATGTTTGACTCAGAATCTAATGGTGTTTTTGAAACATATTTTATTTTTCCAATTACATATTAAATCAATTTTTAACTTTTTTAAAAAAATGAGTCCTTGTTGAGAAGGCAGCCATTTGATATAGGTTATATTTGTGCGGCCATGTAAAACATATTACCTTATTAATTATGTTGCGAAAGAAAACATAGATAAAAAAACAAGAAAAATGAAGAAAGTAAAAAATAAAGTATGCTTCAATCTGCATTCAGACTCCATCAGTTCTTTCTCTGGAGATGGTTAGAATTTTCCATCTTGAGTCCTTTGGAATTGTCTTGGATTACTGTATTGCTGAAAATAGCTAAGTCTTTCACAGTTGATCATCATACAATATTGCTGTTATTATATGTAATGTTCTCTTGGTTCTGCTCATTTCACTTTGCATCAGTTCACATAAGTCTTTCCAGGTTTTCTGAAAGCATCCTACTCATCACTTCTTATAGCACAATAATATTTTATCAAAATCATATGCCACAACTTGTTTGTCTATTTCCCAGTGGGCATCCCCTCAATTTCCATTCTTTTACCACCACAAAAGAAGCTGCTATAAATATTTTTGTACATATAAGTTCTCTTCCTTCCTTTCTCTCTCTCTTTCTTTCTTTCTTTCTTTCCTTCTTCCTTCCTTTCTTCCTTCCTTCCTTCCTTCTTTCCTTTCTTTCTTTGAACCAATTCTGGTAAGAGTAAGGTTTACCCATTGTCCTCTTTCATCTTCCCCTCTTTTGCACCTCTTTTATCTTTCCTTTTCCCCTTCTCCCAGTGTATCTCTTTCTCATGTCTTAATTTTATTTTTTGTATATCATCTCAACATGGTCAACTCATATCCATGTCCTCTGTCTATGTGTATTCCACCTAACTGCCCTAATAATGATAAAGTTCCTCGGAGTTACAAGTATCATCCTCCCATATAGCAGTGTAAACAGTTTGAAAAACATGATTAGACATCACAGAGTAGATGGTGATGCCTTAATCATATATGTGTTATAAAGATCACCAAGACCTCTTCCATTCTTATCAAGGGGAGTGCTATTTTTTTCTCATTTCATATAATACAGAATTTAATCTTTTAAGCAATATGAACTCTCTGATGACCCAACTCTACTAGCCAGACTAAGTGCTTGTTGTGTTTATTTCCTGTTCCTTCCATCTATTGTTTTCTTTTGTACCATCTGTTCGTCAAACTCTACTTATCCAGTGAATTATCAGCCTGGGCTCTTTTACACATTTTTTTCTTCATTAGGTTTTCCAGTCATCTTGTAAGATAGTTCCAAAGGGTCATTCATGCAAACTTACATGCTTAGTTTTACATGAGACTACTTTTAACATTTTGGGCTACTGTGGGTGCAAAATTTTTCTTGTCCTAAGAGGAGTTCATTAATAGGAGAGATATTTATGTAAATATGCAAATAAAAAAGGACATTCAGGAAACATACAGAGTAGATGGAAGGTAGTCTTAGAGAAATTCCTTAGGATAAGTCATTACTGTGTTTCCAGTATCATTCCTGTGTTTCCAGTATTTCTTCATCAGATTCTCTGCATTAATAAAATAAGATAATAAAGGTCTTTTGATTGCTTTGAACTAAATGATACCTATATATTTCAATATTTGAAATTTCAATAATTGAAAAGACCTATAATTTCATCACTGCTAAAGATAATAATCTCTTTGTATCTTATTAATGTTGTAGTTAAAGGAATTCATCATCTAGAGGCCAAGCTTCTAAGTCATAAGCCTCTCTGAACTTGACATGATACATTGCTAGAGCCATATTCAAAGCCTTCAGTTGAACTTAGTGGAACTTCTGCTCTTTTGGCATAGTTTTCAAAAAGCTAGTTACTTTAATCTGATGATGAAGTCTTAAAATGTGTGTATATATATACATGCATATATCTATACACATATACATATATCCATGTATGATGCATATTGTATACACACACACACACACACACATATATGCACCTTAGGAGATAATGCACATGTATATGTATATACATAGAAGATATTTAGAAAGGATATATACCTACGTGTCTTATGTGTGCATATGTGCATGTGTGCATGCATGAGAGAGAAAGGGGTGGAGGAGAAAGAAGAGGAAGAGGAAAGAGAGAAAGAGAGAGAGAGAGAGAGAGAGACAGAGACAGAGACAGAGAGAGATATGTAGTGGATAGGTAGATATGAAAGAAGGCCTGGGTTCACATCCCTCTTTTGGCATATGGTGACTATGTGACTCTGGAAAAGTCACTTAACTTCTCAGGTGCTGAGGCAGCTCTTTAAATCCTTTAAACCCATTAAAAGAATAGAACAGCTATCACTCTATATTATCTGTGGAAGTTTCCTAAGTGGCAGTTATTTGTGTCAGTGAAATCACAGGTGGGGTCAAAAAAAAAGTTTATATACATGTATGTATGTGAGTATATATTATGCATTTAATACTATATACATATGTATATATCAATATACACATGTCATACATATACCCTTTTTAAATAGTAAAAGGAGTTCTCAAGTGAGCAAAGTGACTTTTAATTCTAGTCGACTATATTAAAATTTCTTCAGTTCCAGTACTGTGAACACCATGGATTGGACTCTTATGAATTACAAGACTTTTATGGGAATTGCCAATATAGAGGTAGATAATATTGCACTCTGTGTTGCTATAGGAATTGATGTTCTATCCCCAGTGCCTATAATTCTTATTGCAGCCTCTATTACTCAAACACTGTACAAAGGGGGAAGTTGCTCTTCCATCCATGAATATGTCCTTATGTTATTTATTTGGATGTCATATTCTTGATTGTACTGTGGATATAGATTTAGCAAGAACCAAGATAACTTAGAATGAATAATACATTTCTCAAAGAACAAAAAATAAGTTTATTGATATTTTTTTCTATTTATTCAGTTATATCAAAGTACTTTTCTGTCTGCCAATTCCACGAACACATATTCATAATATAACTTTTTATTTGCTTTCTAAAACCTAAGTTGAAGCATAATAGATAATGCCAAATGCACTTATGTTCTCAGGAAATGTTTAGTGTTGATTTTTTTAATAATTATTCTTGAATCACCAATAATATGTAAGCTTTGTAGCCTTATTGTCTCAGATAGCCATATGTATAGGGGAAATTTTAAAAATACAGGAAGTTTTACTTTAAGGTATTCATTGAGAGAAGGAGCGGGCCACAGGGCAGGATGTTCTAGGTGAGAAGACCACAGGTGCTGAGGAAAGCTCTAGGATAAGAAGGCAACTGTGACATGGTAGTGTATTCTAACACATTTGTATTACTTCATAGAATCATAGGATCAAAGACCTAGAGCTGGAAGGGAGCTTAGAAATCATCTTGTATGATGTCTTGATTTTACAGATTGGAAACTGAGGCTCAGGGAGGTTAAGGGATGTGGACAAAGCGACGCATCAAAAGTAGGATTTTAGCCTGGGTTCTCTGACTTCAGAATAAGTGCTCTCTCCCCTGTACCACATACCATATATCTTGGATATCAGACATAGAGATATTTGATACAAAAGTACCACCCCCAACCCCTAAGCTAGGGAATCAAGTTATTGAATGACTGAGACACAAAGCAGTCCCCTCAACCTTAACCCAACTCAGCTAAAAACAATGATTTGTAAATAGCCCATGTCATCAGCTTTGGCTGGCTCCTGGTGAGCTTAGGACTGAGGGCTGAAAGCAAGTAAGAATCCTAAGAGGATTGAACAAAAATAATATTCTTGTCATGTTTTCACACAGAACTAGAGTTAACTATTAAGACTTCTATAATGTAAATACTCCCCATCATTTGTTATTATAAGTCCTATGTAAATTCCTTTGTATTCAATTTTTAAAAAAATATTCATTTTATTATTAATTTATGGAATAAAACAAGTATTTCCATAACATAGTATAAAATATGCTTGCACATGAAACTGTAAATCTATTATTTATGATTTGTTATTACTTCCAAATATTTCTTTTTTTCTTCCCTCCCTCCCCCAGATGGCTACCATTAGACCTAAATATGTATGTATGTGTGTGTGTATGTATACATACATACATATATGTAAAATTGTTCTATACATACTTCTATTTATCAGTTCTTTTTTTGTATGCAGATAGTGTCTTCTTTCATATGTCCTTTATAGTTAATGAAGGGTTGTTTTATGTTTCTGAGAACAAGATAGGATATAAAGGGACAACCTAATGTTCTGAGGGTCTTTCTATAGATACAGTATTTAATATTATATAGGCACCCATGAGGCAATTAGCCAATTATTCTTTACTTTTGCTATATAACCAATCCACTTTATTTTCCCAGGCATACATCTATTTGATGGTACCTTTTACACCACTTTCTGTGCAAAATTCATTGTTGGAAATATGTTATAGCTTGTATTGTTGCATGGTAGAGCTTGCACACACCATGTGTCTCTTTCTCTTGCTCCCTTGTTGATCTGCAGTTTGAGTTCTTCAGAGATTGGAATATTGTAACTTTTGGTAGTCATGTAGCATCAATAAAATAACTTTGTTATTGTTATTGAGGGTGGAGAGGTTTAGACTAAGATATCCTAGTGGTAGAGGAACTTCCATTGTGGAAACTGCACCTCCAGATTTCAATTGGCCATACATCTGTAACTTGTAGTTTTACAGAATAGCCTATGTTTCCACTGGAAAAATTATGTGGTTGAATAGGTAGGTGTCTTGCTTTAGAGCTAAGCTTGGAGGTCACTGAAAGTTCTGTATAATTACCCAAATGAAATTCAATATACTTCCTTCCTCCAATTTACTTTAGGGCTTAGGTCCATTTACCATTCATTCAAGATATATGTAGTAATGGGCCAGCATAATAGGATGATCTATGATTGCATATCATACTCGAGGCAATACATGTTCTTTAATTGTTTGTTTTTTCCTAGGTGGAAAGTTAGACTGAGTTCTTCTAAATGGTAATGGATCTTATTTAAGAGGTGCTGCAAAATGACAGGGCTTGCTGCAATCAATGTAGTACACACAAAAAGGGACATCTGGAGCACTTTATTGTCTTTTCATTTGAACCTCGTGGTGAACAACCTCCATGAAAACAGTGACTACCTTTGGTGAACATGCAACTCACTGTTTAATGCTTTGCATGATATTCATAATGAAAGGATTATGAAACTAAATTGTTACATCTTCTAATTATTCTAATATGAGTTTGACATATGGATGGAAGACACTTTAATGGAGAAAACCCCTTCAGGTTGCATTTTAGTGTACTAAATGAAATACATAAAATTTTTGTAAACAAACAATTAACACAGTGAAATCTTGCATTCTCTACATCTTCCAATCAATTGTAGAGACATAAAATTGTGATTTCCTGTGTAATATTATTTGAAAATCCTTGCTTTTACCCTTTTCATTCTTTCATCAGTGACATGCTTTGTATATGTATAGATAAGTCTTGTAAAGATTTGCAGAATTGGGAAAGTAAATAATGATTTTTTTCAGTTGCCTTCTATCATTAATAATAAAGGACATCATATCCTCCTTTTATAGAGATAGCTTGAGAGTCAACTTATTAAAATCATGCCATCTACAACCCAGAATTGTCTGTGTGTACCTGATTTTGTTCAACTGTTTTTTGTTTTTTTTCTTTATTCCTGTTTCTACTTCTCCACGCAGTATGGTGAGGACTATGATGTTAGAATACAAATGTGATGGCTCTATTATCACTGAAAAGTAAAGATTTTGACATAAAAAATCTTCATAATTTTTCCCATTTTCATTTTGTTTATTGTTAGATTTGCAGTTTCACCTTCAAATGGTCTTGGGATGATCAGACTTAATTGGGTCTCTTGCCAAGGCTTCTTCCTTCATTCCCACCTTTGATTGTCATTCATATCTCTCTTCATGACAAAGAGAACCAGTATTTTACAAATGATGAGGTTTCTTTTGGTTTCCTTATCATGATGACTGCTTAGTATCAGATAAAATTCCTTAAAATATGATGAGAGTCTGTGTTAATGTTTGTTCTTTTCTCTACCTCCACCTTTTATGTGTGTGTCAAA